GCGAAGCTCCGGAGGCCGAGGATGGCCGCGCGACGGTCTTCGAGGAGGGTTGCGCTCGTCAACCTTCCGCTAAGCGTGCTGATGGTGTCGGTGGCCCTCTGCTTGGGAGGCGCATTGGCCTCGAGAACTCGCATCATCTTGGGAGTTATAGGGGACTATGACTTCATAGAGGATCATGAATTCATGGCAGGAATTGGTTGTGGTGCGCCAGCAATGTGTGACAATTCATTCAGCCATACGTACGACTCTCGTATAATTCACTACGTGGAGACTCGACGTGCTCCGCGTATAATTTAGCGCACGAGCCCCCACTACCCCTGCTCAGCCTCTTACCCCTGCTCAGGTCGGCGGGTCGGCGTCGGCAAAACCGCGACTCCACGTCTCGGCCGCGACTGTCTGTGAAGAGCGCGTCGTCCATTACTTCAACCACCTCTTCTCCCCCCCTCACTCTCCATCACCCATCCATCTCGTGCGCAACTCGGTGTCGCGCGAAAAGGGTTCAAATAACGTGCTCCTGGATATTATCCAGAGTGACAAGAGGAGGACAGCACTTTCATCGCCCTGGGGCAGTCTCTTTCTTTTCATCGGCGCATCATCCACAGGAGCTTCGTCGCCACCCTTTGATCTCTCACTATCATCGCAGTACTACTCAGATATTCACATCTCAGTACGCGCGCTCTCGCTTTCGCAATAATACCCTTCCCAGCTACTTTCCCCTACCACCGCCATCATGGGTGTCCCAGCCATGTTCCGCTGGCTCAGCCAGAAATACCCCAAGATCGTATCCACTGTGCAAGAGGAGCCGCCTAAAAAGGTCGGCGACCATGTCATCCCAGTAGACCGCACCGGCCCCAATCCCAACGGCGAAGAGTTCGACAACCTATACCTCGACATGAACGGCATTGTCCATCCTTGCTCGCACCCTGAAGATAAGCCTGCGCCCAAGACTGAGGCCGACATGATGATGGCCATCTTCGAGTACACTGATCGCTGTGTCGGCATGGTCCGTCCCCGTAAGCTTCTCTACATGGCAGTCGATGGCGTTGCGCCTCGTGCCAAGATGAACCAGCAGCGTTCGCGTCGTTTCCGCGCCGCAAAAGAGGCAAAGGAAAAGGACGACGAGCGTGCTGAATTTCAAAAGATGCTCAACTCGCAGAAAGCAAGTCGTGGCGAGGACATTTCCAGTCTCGAAGAGGTCATCGAAAAGACCTGGGACTCGAATGCAATCACGCCTGGTACCCCTTTCATGCATCTCCTTGCCGAGAGTCTGCAATACTGGTGTGCCTACAAGTTCACAACCGATCCCTCGTGGAAGGACATGAAAGTCATCATCTCCGATGCATCTGTGCCTGGTGAGGGAGAACACAAGATTATGAACTTTATCCGCTCACAGCGCTCTATGCCTACCCATGACCCCAACACTTCACACGTTATCTACGGCTTGGATGCCGATCTGATCATGTTGAGTCTTGCTACCCATGAGCCGTATTTCCGTGTTCTCAGAGAAGATGTCTTCTACGACTCGGGTAAGGACAAGGTCTGCACGCGCTGCGGCCGCAAAGGACATATTCGAAACAACTGTGAATTCCCCGACGATGGCAAGAAGCTCACCGAAGAGGAAGCCGCTGAAGAGTGGTCCAATTCTGAGCACCAACTCAAGCCCTTCATCTGGCTACATACCAACATTTTGCGCGAATACTTAGCAGTAGAGATGGACACGCCAAAGCGAAAGTTCAAGTATGATCTAGAACGCTCACTCGATGATTGGGTCTTTATGTGTTTCTTTGTCGGTAACGATTTCTTGCCACATCTGCCCAGTCTTGAGATTCGAGACCAGGGTATCGACTTACTCATCAGCATCTGGCGCGATCTCGCCGCTGATATGGATGACTATGTGACCAAAGATGGTTTCCCAGACATGCGTCGTGTACAGCAGATCATGTCTGCTCTGGCAACCCGAGAAGCTGGCATCTTCAAGAAGCGAAAGGAAGTTTCGGATCGCCAGGCAGCAAATAGGGCTAGACGCGAGGCACAGAACAACAACAATAAGCGCCAACGAACCGAAGCAAGCGGCCCGCCTGGCTTCAAGCGTGCCAAGGAGAATACCGACACTTATACCAGCGCAGGTATAGTATTTTTCGACCCCAAGGATGCGCAGTCAAAGGAAGTGCGCGATGTGCACAAGGATATCATGCATACCCGAGACGCTCAGTCCAACAAGAGCGCAGCTGCTCGGCTCAAGGAGCTCATGAAGGCCAAGGCTGATGGTACAGCCGCGCCTGCGCCTGAACCGACCCCGACAGAGCCCGCTCCCGAGGGCGAAACCGCCGTCCTTGGAAAGCGCAAAGCAGATGAGGTAGAGGACGCTGACAACGGTACACCTGGTCGCAACACGCCCGTCATCCCTGAGTCACCTGCCCAGGCTGTCGAGACCCCAAAGAAGGAAGATGGCCCACAAGAAGATACCATCATGCTTTGGGAGGACGGCTACGAGGAGCGTTACTACGAACAAAAGTTCGGCGTCGACCCCAACGACATCGCTTTCCGCAACAAAGTTGCACGTCAGTACGCCGAGGGTCTCTGCTGGGTGTTGGCCTACTATATGCAAGGCTGCCCTAGTTGGACCTGGTATTTCCCTCATCACTACGCCCCCTTTGCCGCCGACTTTGTCGGTCTTGAAGACATGGATCCGCGCAAGTTGTTCGAGAAGGGCACGCCTTTCCACCCTTACGAGCAACTCATGGGTGTATTGCCCGCCGCGTCGAACCACGCTATCCCCGAGCCCTTTCGTATCCTCATGGAAGATCCCGATAGTAGCATTGTGGATTTCTACCCTCAAGATTTCCCCATTGATCTCAATGGCAAGAAGTTTGCTTGGCAGGGCGTTGCCATTTTGCCTTTTATCGACTCGAAGCGCTTGCTCGACGCCATGGCGACCAAATACCCCGAGCTCTCAGATGACGAGAGGAAGCGCAATGAGTTTGGTAAAGAAACCCTCATCTTCTCCCAGGAAAGCGGTCTCTTTGACGACGTGGAGAAGGCGCTGTACCGCAAGGGCCAGCAGAAGCACAAGATTGACCCGACCAAAAGTCGCGCGCTACATGGCGATATTGAACCACATGATCTCTTTGTCATGGACAGTCAGCTTGTTCCGCCATTTGATGCGCAGGGCATCACGGAGTTTGAGGTTACGCAGGATAGGAGTATGAGGTATGTTCACCCTCTCCCTACTCAGTTTTTTTTCTTTCCTTCTTTCTACGTGCGAGATAATAGTGCCTTAATGCTAATTTACGACGGATAACAGAGTATACTACGAAATGCCTAGTCTGAGCTCCGCTCGAGCACACCAGTCCGCCCTCCTCCCTGGCGTCAAACTACCCAAACCGGCGCTCAGCCCCGGTGAAGCAGAATCCGTACGTCGCTCCAATGAACGCGGTGGTTTCCGTGGTGGTCGTGGCGGAGGTCGTGGAGGAGGAGGAGGTTGGCGAGGTGGCGGTGGCGGCAACAACAACAATTACAACAACGATCGCCGCGGCAACGACAACTACCACAATGGCGGTGGAAGAGGAGGAGGCTACCAGAACGGGCGTGGAGGCGGTGGCGGCAATTACGGTGGCAACCAAGGAGGTTACGGTGGGAACCAAGGCGGCTATGGCGGTCCTCCTCCTCCATTTCCTGGTCCCGGCGGTAACTTTGCTCCTCCCCCTCCATTCGCTGCGGGTAACTTTCCTCCTCCACCACCGGGTTGGGTCCCTCCGCCTGGTTTCGCTCCTCCTCCTGGTTTCGCTCCTCCCCCTTCTGGCTACGGCGCTCCGCCGCCGCCGATCACTCAACAGCGACCTGCTTGGATGAATGGCGGAGGTGGTGGTGGAAATCAGCCGCCGCCGCAACAGGCACCTGGTGGGAGTTCGTTGAGGGATGAGAGGTTTTATAGACCGGCGGATGAGATACTCGGACGTAGTAGTAATAGCGGCGGTGGTGGTGGATATCAAGGGCATAATGATAGAGGAGGGAGGGGTGGTGGTAGGGGTGGACGTGGCGGTGGTGGTGGACGTGGTGGTAATGGAGGTGGATATCAAGGTAATAGGCAAAATTACAACTCTAATGACTACCGCTAGCAGTGGCAGTGGCAGCAGTGGCAGCAAGAAGATGGATCTGGAGGGGCAGGGATGGGCAGGGATTGGATCGGGGAGAGAGATGCGAGGAGAAGAAGGCAGTGAAGGTGGTTGTTCGTTGTTGTTTGTAAGATAAGTCACATTGGTCTTAAGAGAGAGAGAGAGAGAGAGAGAGACGTGCGTCCGTAAGGGCCTCTTCTAGGCCTCCACCATTTTTATACATGATGATTTTGGAGTAGTAGTGCATGGACAAGGAAAAAAAATCTTCTCTGTTTGTGTTCCTCCTGAATCTTTCTATGGGGAATGTGTGTTTGTTCTGTTGCATACATGTAGAATCTGTTCTTGTGCAATTCTGGTTCTCAGACAGGTCATCGTAGGAGGTTTTCATGCGGGCTTCGAGATCTGCCTCAAGTTCGTCCCTGAGAACTGGTGTTTTGTCAGCTTTTCAACCCGTCTTTCCTTTCTTCTTCCTGCACATGACGCGTCTACTGACCTAGTTCACTCATGGTTTCTAGTCTGTGGCTGGTGTTGATGTTTAGTCGTTCGAGGAAGCTCTTTCGTCGTAACGAGGCTGTTTGGTTCCGAGTATAAAGTAGGTTACATTGTTGCCACTGGCTTGCATGATTCACACCCACATGGTACATAACACACGAAGCGATACAGTGGACGTTATAAGAGCAAGCTCGAGGAACCGGATGAGATTCTAACTCATTGTAAGATGTCCGTAGGCGATCATGACAAGGCTGAACCGTAGCCGAGTGCTGTTGCCCCCCAACGCCCGCTTTCAACCGCCAATCATCGCATGCGCCCACTACTGTTTGATATTCATCGACGTACGTTGCTCTTTGCCCTGGTAGTTTTCATCGGATGCACCATGCTACCATAATGCCTACGGATCACGAGTCCACCATAGAGGACACCCATCTCAGCAATGTGCTAAGCATGCGTCTGGGACCCGACGACCCTCTCGACCACCTACCGTACGCCAGAGAAGCGTCCTTCAATTCGTACACTCAACAGCACGAGCCTGTCTGCCTCCCTGACACCCGCGTTGACCTCCTGCGCGAGATACATAGCTGGGCAGATGGACAAGACGATCGGTGCATCTTCTGGTTAAGCGGGCTAGCAGGCACGGGCAAGTCAACGGTTGCGCGGACGGTTGCGCGCAGCTATCACGAGAAACAGCGTCTGGCGGCTAGCTTCTTTTTCTCACGCGGCAGCGGCAACGTAGGCCGTGCGCGCAAATTTGTTACGAGCATTGCAGTAGACATTGCGAACAATGTGCCAGCATTACGGCAGTACATTAGCGATGCAGTTGAGAAGCGCACCGACATTGCTAACAAGTCTCTGCCGGAACAGTGGTACCACCTTGTCTTCGCTCCATTGTCGAAGCTTGGCGAGAGCGACTACCCAGCGTCAGCCCCGCTCGTTCTGGTTGTAGACGCGCTTGATGAATGCGACTGGGAGGAGAACATCCGTATCATCTTGTGGCTGCTGTCCGGAATTCCATCGCTCACGAGAGACCGGCTGCGGGTGCTGCTGACAAGCAGGCCTGAAAAGCCGATCCGAGACTGGTTCCGCCGCATACCGGAAGTAGAGCATCAAGACGTTGTGCTGCAGCACATATCGCGGTCGATCGTCGACCACGATATAGCCCTTTTCCTACAACACGACCTCCAGCTTACTGGACATAAACTCAATCTCCCTGCTAACTGGCCAGGTGCAGAAATCATCGCGCAGCTGGTGCAGAGCGCAGCCGGCCTGTTCATCTGGGCCGCCACTGCGTGTCGCTTTATCCGTGTTGGAAAGCGCCTTGCACCTAAGATTGCATCTCAGAGGCTGGAGGCGATTCTGCGCAACGACGGCGAAGTTACTACCAGCCTAGAAAAGCTCCTCAACCACATCTACACCACAGTGCTAGAGGACTCGATCCAGAACCGAGGGTACACAATCGAAGAAGAGAAGGAACAACTGATAAACATCCAATATGTTCTAGGAAGTATAGTAGCGCTATGCTCTCCTCTCTCTATGCAGTCTCTAGGTCAGCTACTAGACGTTGCAGAAGAGATTGAACCGGCACTAGAAGACCTCCACGCCATTCTCGACATCCCGGATGATCAAAGCCGGCCAATCCTCCTGCATCACCCCTCGCTCCGCGACTTCCTGTTCGACCAAAATAAATGCGGCGACAGGTTCTATATAGATGAGGAGATCGCTCACAAGAAGCTGGCGCGTTGCTGCATCAAGCTCATGTCGGCGCCTACAAGCCTTCGACAGAATATATGCAGTCTCTCTGAGCCTAGCACCCTAGCAAGCGAGACAGGAGAGGACATAGTGGCTATTAGCCTGTCATCCGAGCTGCGATATGCGTGCCGGCACTGGGTCGAGCACCTCGAGCACAGCGAGCAGAATATCATAGATGGAGACGCAGTACATGTCTTCCTTCAGCATCATCTTCTACACTGGGTCGAAGCGATGAGTCTAATGGGAGAGACGGCTCAGTGCGTGGGCTTGCTGTTCGTACTAGAGGAACTAGTCGCAGTAAGGGGTACTGAACACAACCTATATTCATTTACTGACATAGAATGTAGTCATCTGCAAGCGCTTCTGGTCGTCTTGTGCATGACGCATGGCAATTCGTATCGCAATTCGAATCGGCACTAGACGAATTACCTCCCCAGGTGTACACGCTAGCTCTTGTTTTTGTACGAGAGAAAGAGCTATTAGAAACGGCGTCTACCCTTCGAGGGCAGGATAGTGTCGGCGGAAGCCAGTCCGAAAGGCTTGTGCATGAAGGAAATGTGCTGAACCATGAGAAAGACGACATGTCAGATGATGATGATCCTCTTGAAACTAGTTCAGTCAGTTCACACATTACGACAGCACGTGAGAAAGATGCAAAGGCCCACGTCGCATATGTGCTTGCAAATGATCCAGAACTCCGTGCGTTGTGCAGCAGGGTAGTGAATGAGCTGGGCAAAGCTGAATTTGCTAAAGAAGGGCGAAAGCTGCTCAAAAGTTTTTACTGTGGCTTGCTCATGGATGCTAGGACCCAACTGGAAAAGCAAAGCGTTAGTCTACTGAAGTCTCGAAACGGAAGGATAAGGATAAGCAGCAATATTGCAGAGATCATAAGTTCACCTGATGTCGAACACAGTGAAGCAGGAAAGAGAGCTGAGGAGCAGATTCGCATGCGGAGAGAGCGCCTGGAGATATGGGCGGAAGATTACACGCACACATCTCACGCCGATGAAGACTCACGTGAGTGGGACGCAGTGCAACTTCGGCTTGTTGAAAAGGTAAACGGACAGCCTGAGGATTTCGAGCATGCGGACTCCGGAACTAGTCATAGCGGCGATTCAGTCGTGGGGTTCGACTTGGAGGGCGAGACGAAGGAAAACTTCATGACAAAAGTCACTGAGATGGAAAACTTCTTTCGCAACTCCAGGTCGTTCGAGGTTTTACTTGATGGGTTTCGGGAGCTGCTTCTTCCACAATCACTCAGAGATATCCTGCCTGCAACTTCCGTGGAGATCTCAACTGAGGAGGATAAGTCGATCAGCAACCAGATGAAATCGCTCGTTGAAGACTTCACGATGTTAGATTGGGATTGGTGGCCTCTGACGCCCCGTATGAGAGCCCTCAACCCTAACGAAAAACGTCTTATCTGGAAATGCGTGAGTAGAGACATCGTGCACGGTGACTAGCAAGCTGACAGTATGTAGTCGTGCGGCACCAGACTCTGGAAAGAGATAAGCGCCAAAGAGGCAAACGTTGTCAGTCTCTTACTGCCAAGTCTGGAGACGGAATCGCTCAGCATGCCTCAATGCACCAAATTCTCGGCAGATCTACCCTTGTGGAGACGATTGGCTGACGACATCAAATACTCCTTCTCGACATTGACTGGTGGACAACAAGGGGCTTCGCCAACGGCATCGGGTTCAACGACGACTACAACTACAACAACAGGTGTGCAGGCTACCACAACTGGTCAAACGAGTGTCAACCCACAGACTCCTGCCCAAATTCCGCAATCCGTTCCAGCTAACCAACAACTTACCTTAGTTTCCGGCTCTGGTAGTCCACCTTCGCTAAGGTGGATTATCTTCGGTACCCAACCGTACAACAAGACTGCAGAGCTAGAACATATTGAAATCGACGATTTTACCAACGACAGCCGCTTCTTTCGATCTTTAAGAGACCATTATCGGAAGCATCGTGGTCTACTCAGCCGGTGGTTCTCTATTTGGCGCATTGGAGCTTGTGACGGTGTGAGAGTACGAGTCCGATCAATGAGTTGGACTATATGATGTTGCTGACACAAGACACTAGTTCGACAGAGTGGCTTCCGATCTCGTTTTCTTGGAGAATCCAGAGCTGCCTACCGATTTTCACGAATATATCTACAACCCGAAAGCGCCTCCAAAGGGTAATGCGGAAAACCCTCTTATAAGCCGCCACAAAGCTTCGATGTTCATGAACTGCAATGACCCATGCCGTTGGAGATTTTTTCACAATTGCGTACCACATCTCATCAACAGGAGAGTTATTGACCGCGTTCCAAGGAAGAAATCCAAGTTCGCAATTAAGGACGACAATTCAATGGAGCACCAAGCATGGGGTATAACAGTTAGACACGAGATCTCTGTGGCTTACGTGGTGTGCTATCATGTTCTTATCCTGGCTTTTCCATTTGCCTTTTGGGGTTGGTGGCAACATAACCATCCAGATGATCTGCAGAATGCTGCAGTCCCCATTACTGTTGTTGCAGGGCTGTTATCGCTTTTTTGGGGCGCGAATGGCATACTAACAGAAGGTCGACACTCGGGGTCAAAGACTGGTTGATTTTTCTTTTTTTTGCTTAGCAATTTCAATACTTCTTTGAGTCATCAACACGCTTTCAGCTCGTTCCAGGTGACTGAGCATCATATTTCCCTAGGACGCTAGTAGCTGCACCCCGCGAGGATGAGGTAAGTACGACAGACTGATCGCAAATGCATTTCTATCACGGTTAGCGACAGTCGAACAGGGCTGAGTCATTACAGGTCAGCACTCAAGCATACCTAGGTACTACCGGCTGGCACAGGATCCTGATCATGAACCAGGTGCCGCATAGACCGCTCGGTAGTAATATTGACGGCTTTTGAAGAAGGAGCTAGTCAGTCAAGGTTTTGTGTCAATTGCAAGAATTCGATCATTCGTAACGCGGTCGTGTAACACCCGGCTGGACGCCCAGCTACAGATAATTCGGATGATGAACCGCATGTGCGATATTAATCTGAAATTCTTCTTAAACCTATTCACTTGGCCAACTGAACAACAGAAAGATGGATGCGCTTTAATGATTAGACACCAAAAACGTGATGGATGCTGCAGAGGTTAGTTTCAGAAGTCGCGTAGCTGCTAAAGCTCACTTTTATAAGTAAGCACGCACTCAAGTTGGTCTTCTACACCTTGAAGTCCCAAATCACCGTCCACGATAACACAAGTCGCGCGAAACAGCTGCGAGATCGATAACAATAGATCTCGCGGTGCCGTTCGTGATAAATAGCGCGACGCTCTTCCCGTACCATGGACCTACCTCACGGTCTGCGATCAAGACACGCACTCTTAGTTCCCTTCTTCCCACGGAGAAACCCAGTAAATCTTAAGCTCCATTACCAGATATTCTTAAAAACTTTGTCATCAGCGGACGCAGTAGTCTGACCAGAGTGCCCTACACGGAAGTGCAGCACGCGTTCCGATCGGAAGAAGTCGGCATTTCGGAAAGAAAAGCGAAGAACCATCTGACGTTGATGGTGTGACTTTTAGTCACTGGATACAACGGCACCAACTACTGCAACATCGTTATGTGGCTTGAGGCGAAGAGGAAATCCCGGGACGCATAACTGCGAGGAGAAGGTTTGCAGGTCTCCGGCAACAATGTAGATGCTTGAGAGGTTTTCAAAAAATACATCGCGACTTCATCTCGCCGAAAGTAGCAGGTGATCCCGCGACATGACCTCCCTCCCGTCGCATGCAAGTAAAAAAGACGACGTCTAGATGTTCGAGTGCCCATATATTGCGTTCGGAGTCTAGTCCTATACCAGCCTCTACCCACTTCATACATTCGTACCTGAACATCCTCACGCAACCATTCCTGCAGCGGAAAAAGTGGCGGAACCAGCGAAGCCCGGAAAACCGCATCAATCACACGTGGGCCATACGTAATACATGTCATCTCTTACAGCTGCTTTGATCTGGGCAGGCGTAGTTTCCGTCACGCTTTCACGAGGGTGCTGTGGACCCTTCCGAGTTTTAGGTAAGAAACCCTGCTTGCTCAAAAGGCAAGAATTGTGTATCACCGCGGAGATGCACATTTCAGCGGGTCTTGTAGGAAACAAGAGAATGGTGTGTTTGCAGGTGTGTTCGCAATGGTGATGCGATATAAAGAGAAGCTTGGAATGTGAAGATGTGGCAATTCAATATTTAATATCAGTTTTCATTATTACTTCAATAGTGGTAATAGTAAAATCCGTACACTCCATCTCCGGACATATCAACCACAACAATAACCGCAACCAACACCTCGCTCGACAGCAAAACTCATCTTCCATCCACGGAGGACAGCAGAAAACATACTACTCCAACTACTCGATCCCGCAAGAATGGGCGCCCTAACCCCCTCCCAAGTCCGCACGATCAAAGCCACGGTTCCTGTCCTCGCCGAACACGGCAACACAATCACAACCAGGTTCTACCACGACCTCCTAGAAGTACACCCAGAGCTTAAGAATGTCTTCAACAACACCCACCAAGCAACCGGACACCAGGCCCAAGCGCTCGCTGGCGCTCTTTACGCCTACGCTGCCAACATCGATGATCTAGGCAAGCTCTCGCCAGCCGTCGAACTGATATGCCACAAGCACGCATCTTTGTTCATTCGCCCAGACCAGTACGACGTTGTCGGCAAACATCTACTCGAGACGATGAGCACAGTGTTGGGTGAAGCCGCGACACCCGAAATTCTAGAAGCATGGGGAGCGGCGTACTGGCAACTAGCCAACCTGATGATTGGCAAAGAAGATGAAATGTATAAACAGACGGCCTACTGGCCTGACTGGAAAGACTTTTCTATTGCTAAGAAAGAAAAGGAGAGTGATGAGATTACAAGTTTCTATCTCGAGCCAGTGGACAAGGAGTTCAAGTTACCGATTTACAAGCCGGGACAGTACATCTCAGTCAATGTATTCGTGGAAGAGCTAGATGGTGGCGTGTGGCAGGCGCGACAGTATAGTCTGAGCGACGCGCCGGGCAAGAAGTATTTGAGGATAAGTGTCAAGAGAGAGCCAGGGATTGAGGTGGGAGAGAAGAAACACATGACGCATGCGGGTTATATATCGAATCTGCTGCATGACATGAAGAACGAGGGGGATGTAATCAAGGTCTCGCACCCATTCGGAGATTTCTTCTTCGACAAGGACGAGGTGGATGCGGATGCACCTGTCGTGCTCGTTTCAGCAGGCGTCGGTTTGACTGCCTTGACATCCATCTTCAACTCGCTGACGAGCGAGAAGTCGAATCGCCCGATAACCTGGATTCAAGGCGCACGTAACTCGGCCACACGCGCGTTCAAAGCCCACTTCGACCAATGCGCTGCTGCAAATGAGAACGTGCATGCCGTGTACTACTCGTCAAGTCCAAGCGAAGGGGAAGTTCAGGGTCGCGACTACATCATACAAGGTCGCGTCGATCTAGACAAGATTGACAGGCAACACCTGCATGCGGACAGTGGCAAGACAGTGTACTACTGTTGTGGACCCACACGATTCATGCTCGACGTTGAGGCCAAGTTGAAGAGCTATGGCGTGCCGAGTGAACGGGTGAAGATGGAGTTGTTCGGTACCGGCGGAGTACCGAGGGTCTAGAGGCATTAGAGTATTGGGTGTATATGGAGATCGACCTTAGTATTGGCGTGGAATGAAGCTACCGTCCTTTTTTTTTGCTTTACATCGGGGCAGCCGGTTGGTGATTCATCATGTACTGTATCTGTAAACTGTATATTAGTTATCATATCAAATTCCCGCTGCGTTAGTTCATCCAACTCGATTTGCCTCATCCGCGCGCTTGTTATCGACGGTGTTGTCTGTGCAGCGGCGGCGTACCAACCACTAACTCGGGATGTACACAACAAACGCGCATACCTCAGGACGCCATTTGCAACGTTCCCACACAAACGTGCAGCGGAACGACGAGCTTTGATTGTAGATCATCCTACCGCGGCTGTCAACGGGTACGGTCAGGTACTAGGACATTGACCATTTCCGAAGTCCCGGTCGTAACAGCAGGTCAGGTCAGGCCAGGCCAGAGGTCGCACACTTGCTTCACGGTACTTGGGTAAACGCAGGGCAATGTCCTCGGGATCATGCAGAGAACCCCCTCTCTCCCTTACCCACTGAACTTGATCACCGAGCATAAGGGGTGCATGAGGCTCACCTGCCAGCAGAGCAGGGCCGGTAGGATCGTATGACACGGTAGGGCCGAATTCTGAACGTTGTCCGTAGTATATTCATGCCGCTGGACGCGCATCGGAAGTGTACGCGCTCCCGCCTCGCTCTGATTTGTCGAGACGACGTAAACAAGGCGTTATGGGGGAGAATTCTGGATGGCTGGCAGGCTGGCGGGTAGAAAGCAGGCGCCAACTGAGATGACGGCATGCAGTCATTCA